CCCCTCCTCCGCGTCGACGACCACTTCAACATCAGCACTCGGCCTGGGGCCCGGAGGTGAGTCGTACATCCACCCAACCCGCCCTCACCCGCGCCCCCTCCCTCTAAGCCAGCTCACCCCCCTCCTGCACAAAGTTCAGACAAACCTCTAAAAGGAAACCATGAACGTTTTTTGTGGGAATTGAGCAACCATGCTCGAGTTGTGGCTCTACTTCCCCCCAGCCGGGGCTTCTTTCCCGCCCAACATCAAAATCAACATCACCATCAACATCGACATCATCATCATCATCAACATCAACATTGTCAACCTACCTTCCATTCCCTACCTCTACCATGCTCGGCCCCCGCCAGCACCCACAGGCGACATGTACCGGGCCTCAGTAGCGGACTTCGCGCACTTGTACAACGGCGAGCCGACTGCCCTCATGCTGCTGTGTGAATTCATTCTCAACACGAACTCGGGAGCGGCAGCGGCGGCGGCGGCGGCAGCTTCGCACGGGCATGCGCATGCTGTCGGCGGGTGCGGCGGCAATGAAGAGTACGACAACGTGACGGCGCGCGCGCGAGCATACGAACGGCTGTTGTACCACACCCTCTTGGAGCTGTACTTGGCGGATCAGCTGTGGCAACAACCGAATCAACAACCGCAACCGTTACCTGTCCCAACTAACAAACCCGCCAAGACGCCGACAGGGTCGACGTCGACGGCTGCGTCATCTCCGGTCAAAGGGGAGCTGTCGGCGGGTACGGCGTCGGCGGCGTCTCACGCTCCTCGTATAGCACCGTCACCGCCGCCGCCGCCACCGCCACCGCCATCATCTGAAGTAGCAGTGGCACTGTCGCCCCAACCTTACCTCGAATTACTGAAAGCTGATTTTCCACATCGCAGGTGGCGGCTCTGCTACAGCTACAGCTACTGCTGCTGCTACAGCTGCTACTGCCGGGGACCATGCGGTGGTCATGTCGCCGGATGCGGAGGTGGGGTTTGGGAGTTGTCCGGGCTGCAGCCGGGTGAGGGGGAGGGAGGGGAGGGGGAGGGGGAAGGGGGGAGGGAGGGGAGGGGAAGGGAGAGGACACGAGGGCAGTTTTGGCGAGGCGGCATATCCCAGGAAAGGGGTGGGGGATGTTGCGATGTCTCTGTTTATGTCGTGTAACCAAATCTATTACATGGTGATAATTGGAACGACACACCAAGTTGATATGTTGTGGCTTTACACTGGCGCAATCCCCATTAGCAAACCTTGACGTTCCTAATTAGGCAACCGTCCAAATGGCGGTCCATGCAAAACTCCCTCCTCTCCCCTTCTCCCCCCCACTCCTCCCCATTACCAGCCTGCGACAATCGCACCACGGAAGCATTTTGACAAGCCTTTCTTTTTCAAAATTTTAATTTTATTGTTTCATATTTATTCCGGTTGTTTCCTTATTAGGCGCGTCGCGCCAAGGCGTACGACCTGCTGCTCCGCGGTTGGCCGCCTCACGTGCAAATACCCACGGGGGAGGACCCGAGCAGAGCAGGAGGGGGAGGAGGGGGATCCGCGTACGGCATGTACGGCCCGGCGTACGATCCAGATCACGCGCTGGTGCTGTGTCGGCTGCACGGGTTTCGGAAGGGTCTCCTCTTTTTGTACGACAGGTTAAGATTACCCCGAGAGGCCTTGCAGGTGGGTCGTGTGTGTATGGGGGCCGGGGGGAGACGGGGGGTTTCGGGGGTAGGGGCCAATAAATTCTACATTTTTGCCTATGTTAGGAAGTTTCCATCTCAGGATGTCGCGGCCAACAGTATGTGGTTGTGGAGGTTATCCAGTAGGTTCAGTGGGAGGTGTATCCCCTCGCTGTCATCATTTCTGGGCCTGTCCGTGGCACAGGCAGTAGCAGATCAACTTACTCTTTCAATAGGATTGCCAGTCTCAAGGGAGCAACTTTGGCTTGTCCAAGCCCCACAAACAGTGCAACAATGTGTTTGGGATGTTGTGGCTCTTGCTGCGGTGTCAGCCATGGAGCATGGGAGACGTTATATGGTTGCAAACATGAAAACCAACCCGGCACTGTTACCTGGCCCTTCCCTTACGGAAGGAGCCATTTGTCGAGTTATTGTTGACTTTTGGGGCCGCCTTCGGGGTTTCGCAGCTCTGGGAATTCCACGGAAAGGTTGGGATTCGGTTGGGGCACATCACCCCTTCTTGCGAAAAGTATCAGGCAAATTGCTATGCTCACGGGAGCGGTCAACGATGGACGATTAGCTATCACCAATTTTTAGAATCAAAAAATGGTGTGCATGTGAGGGCAATGGCAAAGGCCGCCAGGACACACGTCATCACCTTCTTGCGAATTGTATCAGGCAAATTGCTATGCTCACGGGAGCGGTCAACGATGGACGATTAG